CCCACAAGCAGCTTTATTTCTTACTTGAATGCCTCAAGAAACAAGTACTACCACACAGCGTAAAACACAAACCACCTCTCAATAACCCACAAGCATGAAGAACAGCCGCAGAATGCTACATGATCAACAATACCCATAACAGCCTTCACAAATATAAGCAGGAAATTGTGCGCCAAAAATCGTCATAATCAGACTCGACCAGCCGAGAATAGACCGCAACACTGGAACAAGCGATCACTATCAAACAGCACACAACGAAGACAAAGAAAAGACTGGCCCTAAAGAAAAAAACTAAGCAAACTCACCCACAGCAATGATACGGACAGAGAAGGCCCTTGGATAAGAAACCTAACTGACCAGCCACTCTCAGGTACTGAAAAAGCTGTCCTGACACGCGGACTAAATTACAATCAGAGACGCAAGTAAAACTGACTTCCTCGCCGCGCTAGAATCCACTTTAAAAAACAGCGGACTCTCAGATGAAACCCAACAGACCATTAGGCAGACTATAGTCCCAACATTGAGCAGAAAGAGTGAAGGTAACCGCCTTGAACACACTGGAAAGGAAGGCCCTCGGAGGACTCAGGAAAGACAAAAACATTGTGATCCTGTCTGCAAACAAGGGACACATGACCGTCATTCTAAACAAAGTGGAATACATCGAGAAAGCACAAACGTTAACAGACACCTGCACTTACCAACAGATGGCAACAGACCCACACCACAACTTGAAAACCGAATCACCACCACCCGAAGGAAATTACACCAGACAGGGGAAACAATTAAATACGGCCCACTTCTATGGACTTCCCAAAGTACACAAGCCAGAACTTCCCCCTCAGACCCACAGTCTCCCTCCAGGGTACACCATCATGCAGACTAGCTGAAGAATTACAACAGAAACTGACACACTCAGTAAACAGCTCAACCCAATCTATCCACCCAGCCCAAGAATTCTTCAATATCAAAGACACCAGAATCCATGAGGACGAAACTATGACCTCCTTTGACGGGACAGCACTGCTTACTTCCATCGACATCCCCCTAACTAAGGAAACACTAGACAAAACAGTAATGCCGACCCCCTACAACACCAACACCAACAGCAAGGACAGCACCCTTAAACTCCTAGATTTATGCCTCACGACCCACTTGGTCTTCAACAGCTAGGTATGCAAACAAATCAACAGAATACCCATGGGATCACCCATATCAGGACTTGTAACTGAAGCAGGAATGCAAAGACTAGAATGGACAGCCCTTCCTACTATCCAGCCATAACTATGGGTCCTCCATGTAGGATGACATATTTGTCATTATCAAGCACACAAAACTGGAGGAAACTGACCAACTCATCAACAACATCCTCAGCAACATTAAATTCACCAGGGAAGAGGAGAACAACCACTGACTTCCATTCCTGGATGTGAAGGGCCAATGATGAGCTCCAGACCAGTGTATACAGGAAGGCCACACATACGGACCAAATACTTAATTACAAAAGCAACCACCCCAACACCCACAAACAAAGCTGTATCAGGACTCTGTTCAAAAGAGCCATAACACACCGCAGCATCCCAGAACTGCGCAAAGCCGAAGAACACCTCCTCAGCGTCTTTAAAAACAAGGGCTGCCCAAAAAGCGTAGTCCGCCAGCACTTATTCAACAGACAACAACAGGAAGACACAAATACTAGTCACCCTGCCATACATCAAGAATGTTTTGGAGCTAACCACCAGACTACTCCGACCACTAGAAATCGTGGTCGCACACAAACCCATAGCTACACTACGACAACTGCTGACAAGAACAAAAGATCCCATATCCACAACTAACAGGACCAGCGTTGTGTGTAAAATCCCACTTAAGGACCGCCACAAACACTATATTAGACGGACCAGGAGAAAACTAGCTCAGGGAACATGAGCACCAACTAAATACCACAAGACCAACTATCACCCATTTTGATACACTCGGATAAAGATGGCCACCAGTTCGACTGGAACAACATAAGCATCCGAGGACAAGCCAACCAAAGACACGCACGAGAATTCCTATAGGCCCGGTACTCAAACCGAAACTCCATCGACAAACATGTGGACATAGCCCCCCCCATATACCAACCACTACGAAGCAGAACCGGTAATGAGTCCAACCACATCAGTCCGGACCCACATAAATAACAAGCGGGACAGACCAACAATGCTTCATCAGAGGCGCACTGATGATGTTACCTAGTATGGTGACAGGACATCTGCAAATCAACCGACCAGCTCAGTGAACAAATCAAAAACCCCGGCAGTCAAAGTTGCTGCTTATTGGAGTCAAGTACAGGTAAGAGGTCAGGGCAGCAGTTTCCTACACTAAATGATACGAGACAACTTGTCTGGTTTTTAAAACGGTATTCCAAACGCTTTGTGCTCCTCATTATGGGTCACAAGTTTTGAATTCAAAGCTTTAAGCACAGGTCTCTGTTGTACTGTTCCGGTAATACAACCACTACCTTATTGTACCCTGTCATCAGAGCAGACTCAGACACCTGCTGCAGAACTTTGGATGAGTTGAGGATCATGGCACAAAAGACTTATCTGAAAGTGCCAAAAGCGCAGCTGACAGTGTCACTAACAGATGAAGCAGAGGTTGAAATAGATGGTCTTCATGAGGGATAGGCAACAAAACTCAATTCAAAATTTAAGATGATACCGCAAATGCCAACAGTCTGCTTCAATCTCCAATGAAAAGAATACAATTAATACAAATAACATGTCACAAGTTAAGATGTGAATGAAGATGGCTGCACGGGCCCAGTGAGCAGCGAGCGAGGCTGAGTAAATGACAAAGGACAAGGCTCCCAGCAGCAGCAATGGCAGGACGAGGCGGGATGTGGCACCAGGTCCTATGGCAAGCGAGGAGCAGGTCCAAGGGGTAAACCCCCCTTCAGCCCAGGCTCCAGGTCCCTAGCTAGGCCCAGGCATCTGATGATGGATGTGGCAACGGTGACAAGTGAAGTCCCAGCGCAGGACCCTGCAGCAGCAGCAGCAGCAGCGGCTACATTGGCGAGTTCGGTCCAGTTGGCAAGATGGCACCTGAGAGTGGTGACTTGGTTTCCATAGGCAAATCGCGCTTGCAGCAGTGTCATCAGTTTAGCAGCAGGGACTTGAGGCATTGGGGTGGAGGAGCCTGGATCCAGGCCCATGGCTGAGGTAAAAGTGGGAGCTGTTCCAAAGAGCCCCTAACTTTATTGAGATAAGACTGCAAGATGAGCTTCACTGTTTTATTTTTTCACTTTATATTTATTTGTTTTTTGGTTTATCTTCAGGTTTAATATGTTTCAGGAAAGTAGTCTTCCACTCCAGGAAATCCCAGAATACTGGGTGGCCTTGGCAGAAGAGAAGGAGGCCCATACAAGCCTATCCACTTCAAGTAATACAGCTATCTAACTTGGAAATATATCGCCATTCCTGCATGGTCACTGGGTCAAAATCTAACTCCCTATCTAACCGCTGTATATATGTAACACCAAGTTGACAGCGACCATTCAAGGTTGCAACTCACCACCACTTTCTCAATCCTTAATATGGAATGGAAAATTAAAGATTGCCTTATCAGTAATATCCAAACTCCATTCATTAAGAATAGCATTTCAAGTGACAAAAACAAATTGCTGGAAAAAGAAAATCAGCAGGTCTGGCAGCATCTGTGGAGAGAAATCGGAGTGTACGTTTCAGAAACGCTAGAACTGAGAAAAGGTCACTGGGCCCGAAACATGAAGTCTGATTTCTCTCCACAGATGCTGCCAGACCTGCTGATTTTTTCCAGCAATATATGTTTTTGTTTCTGATTTCCAGTATCCACAGTTCTTTCAGTTTTTGTTTTAGCACTTCAGTCAGATCAGATGAACGGCTCAAATCAATATGCTTGATACACTCAAGTCTGTCCCTTTGGCTATAAGAAAAGCTATGTAATATCGAAGTAATCAACCAAAACACAGTCAAAGCAAGGTGTAAAGGAGTGGTTATGCAAAACCAACAGCTACAGGAGAATCATGACAGAGGGGCGAAGCATTAAACAGGTGGAAGCTTCAACAGTTCAAAGTTAATGATTTTATCCGTCTTTAAAGACAGTACTTTTAAATGGTGCACACACAAGCTAACAATGTCTAAGTATACTAAACGAACTGCATGCAGAGATGTTCAATTACTTCATTGTGGAAGCTTTGCTTGGTCTCATTAAAGTATCAGGAGACAAGTTCCCTCAATACCAAGTTCTGTTCAGTGCCAAAAAACAATTAATTAGAACCACTGCTCAGGTTAACGCTGAAATGTTACTGGAATACAGATGCATTTCCAATAAAATAATTCCAATTAGCCTATTGCCACGGTGAAAAGGCAGACTGAAAGAATGCCTGGATAAAGCACCACTTAAAAAGAAGATCTTCAACAAAACAATTGTGCTGCTGTCTCTTAGGACAAGTCTTTTCCACATGATCGCAAGTCACCAACAGTAGAAATGAAACAAAAACAAATAAGAGAACATAAAAACATAAGCTGGTTTATTTTTACTGAAAATCTAGTTTAATGCCAAATTAAACAAATGAAAGGCATAAACAGTTAATTTAACACTCTAATTTAGCTCAGTGAGTTGATGCACTAGTTAGATACAGTGACACATTAAAAATTCTTCCAACTTGATACAGAATGTTTATTTAAGTTAATATTCCCAATGTTATGGCAAGTGTTATGTGCAGCAGGCAGCTCGACAGACCAGCAGTGCATGAAGTAGTGCAAAATCGACTTGATTCTCCAGCTGAAGTGAAGTGGAACAGGGCAGGTTAACATTATTCAGCTTTTTCCATGTAATCCAATGTAAGCGATAATCAAATAATCACACAAGTGCCAACTTCTTACTAGTTAGCTGTAAGAGTGAATTATACAGTGAAATCAGTGTTTTTTTCTCCACCATTCAAGCACCACTGGTCGATCATTTATTAGTTCTCTCACCTTTTGCACAGAAGCTTGTTGAAAGAGAGGAATAAGAGGATTAGTTCTTGGAATATCAATATGAATCTGTGAATAAAGAGAAAACAAGTAGCAGAGGCCAATTTATTACTGGTGGTGCAGCCAGTCAAGACAATTGCTAGCGTTTAGCTGAGGCTCAAAGCCAAGGATTCTAAGCTGTCAAGTGTCGTGCCATTTGTTTAGGAATGCTCAAAATTTTGAGAAGTCATGATTCAAGGTTAAATGTTCCTTGAATACATTTAGCAACAGAGCCAACCTGACAACTCTGAATCCTAGCTTTGGTCATGCCTGCTGTGCTTTGCAGAGCTGGGTGAATCAAAAATACCAATATCTCATATCTCATATGAATGTTCTGATCGCTTTTGTATGAAACAGTTTCAAGAACCATCCACATATAGTACAATCAGCAAATGCCCTAATATTTGGTAAACCTTCTGACAGTATATTTTGACTCAATTACAAAAATGTAAAGGTTAAGTTATGTGCTATAATCAATGGATGATAGCAGCACATGTACATTAGAATGAATTTGATGGGCAAGGACAAAGCAAAGGAACAGTATCGTTCTGACGAGGATTCACAATATTTCCACTGGAGATTGGATTCTTTTCCTTGAACTGCATTTGATAATTGACTTCCTTGACTCCAGGTGACTATAACAACAGCATAGGTTTTCCACATCACTTTGCTAGAAGGTTAAATTGCAAGCAGTTGACAGCACCACCATAGATTTTTTTCCTTCATTTTTACGTGCAATCTTTCTGCTTAGCATGATTCTGATTGAGAACTGAACACCGAAAACTGGAACCTGAGAACTCTAAGTCTAATCATGAACTTCAGCATCCAACATCATTCAACTGCCAAGTCTGTCAATTTCTACACAAACAGTGCATAGATATACATACAAGTACGAATGCATTTATACACAGGGGAAGTTAAGTGATAAGTTTTAGTATGAGGAAACACTCCAAAGTCAGTTCTTGGGATTGAAGATAAAAGTGATGGTTTGAAGCTACACTTCCAATCTTATATTGCAATTGCATACTTCATGAAACGTTAGCTTTGCTATCACTCATTCACTTGTTAATACAAATCAACAGCATTAAAAAGCAGAGTTCTGCTTCCAAAGAAATATCTTTACGCTCCAGTATCCAAAGGAAAACATAAAGCTTAATATAACTACTCTTCCATTTTCTACAACCAACCCATAACGCAAACTGTCTTTGGCCCCAAAGACACCTCTGGTAGTAGAAGAGATCACCTTCCAATTTTTTTTTTTTTTTTTTTTTTTTTTTTTTACAAATTGTGAAGCTCCAACCATCCTGGAAGGATACTGATAACAGTTGCAGGTTGATAAGCTGCACAAACTGACACAGATCAAATTCTGCTTTCTCCATTTTTGACCTAGAATGGCACAATTTAAAAAAAGCTTCCATTGCTTTGCTATTGAAAACAGGCAGCACACTTTTCAATGAGTGCAGTACTAACACAACAAAATCCAAAAATGTGCAATTTCCATTCAGCAAAACAACTCTCAAATATTCTCTTTTTACTCAACTGAGATCATAAATGGGGGAAGACATGTTCCAAGCACAATTGAAACATAGAAAAGGTTTCTCCGAATCTTAGCTTCATACTGTGGTCATTCCCTGAATTCAATGAGAATGTCCATTATCAACTGAAATTATCTATTCGTAGAAATTTACAGCAGCCAAAATTATCAATGATAGATGTAGTACCAGGTACTGCAATTTCAGCAAAGTGGAGCATGCCAATCCAAACCTGTAATTTTCCTACCAACACCAATATGTGAAACTGCCAATCAGGTCAATGTTGCTAAAAGCAGAGATACAGTTCTTGCACTTGACCTATGACCTGTAGTTTTGTCTTTAGAGTGGCTTATTGGAAAGAAAAAAAATTAATTTATGAAATCAAGCCCAAATAGGCAGTCCTGTACTAATTTTGCGGATGATTCTCAAATCATGTTTCATCATTAATACATATTAAATAATGTAATATTTATACCAATTTTTAAGTATGACAAATAATGCTAAGTAAAATAACTTCAATATACATTGCACTGATTTTAAGTAAAACAATTGGTCAAATGATAAACCCAGCTCTATAAAAATCAAACCAAATAGCCATCTATTAAAGTTTTAGTTATGAAACTGATGGATGAGGCAGGGAAAAGATCTTATTTTACTTGATTCCCAAAGCTCTTACCTCTCTTACTTTTGGTTGTAGTATTAAACTCTCAGGAGTCATACGAGGAATATCTATGGCAATCTGATGGTTTAGAAAAACAGTGAAGTTTCAGGAAAAAGTTGTCTGAAACATTTTTCCATTTTCTGAACCTAAAAACCATAAAAGTCTAATGGCTTTTAAATATTAACTTATGGCCCAATCGTTTCTCCAATACATGAAATGAACATCTAAAAGTGTCAATTCTCGGCAGGCGTGAAGTGGCACATACGCTGTCTGCGCCATTGCAGGAAATTCTCAGCCAATATTTTTGCTCATTTTAATGCAGCCATGATTAACTTAAAAAAACCTTCGCTGTTCATACAATTTTGGAACACAAGGGAAATGGAATTCAGAGACAAGGTGTAGAGCTGGATGAACACAGCAGGCCAAG